GACAGAGGTACTTGAGCAAAACTGCCAAATATATTAACAGAAAAGCCTTGGGTGGGAAATCCGGTAGGGCAGAGGAGCCTGGCTGAGGGCAGAAGCAGAAATTAACTAATAACTGACCAGTTAATCCCCGCGGGGGATGGCAAGTGAGGCTCAGAAAACGAGCAACTGACACAGGAATTCCCAGTGAGGAAATACTGCATTTGAACAGTGTTTCATCCATGGAAGCAGTGGCTCCATGCAGCAGTGGTGGGGAGGATCCAACTGTACCCGAGGGCCAAGGATGGGGACAGAGCCGCACATTTGTCTCGGTCACCCTGCAGGAGCCACAGAAGGATCTCACGCAAAGCCACCAAGGGCGGTTGGAATTCACCAGAGGTGGCCCACATTTTTCAGAGGCTTGACAAGCCCCAAATCCCTGGAATACACACGAATGCCTGCAGAAATGGGGCCTACAGGCAATGATCGACATTAAGAGTGAGACAAGCCGATCTAATTCCGCACTGAAGTGCCCCTGATGGGCCACAGAACTGGGCGGGCAGCAAAGTGTCACAACGGTACCTGAGCCACAGACCAGCAGGTACGTTTAACGTCTTACCTCCCAAGATCTCTCTCTCCCTCTCTCTCACCCTCTGGTAATCTTTATCCTTAAGACACTAATTGCGATTACACACACTCCGTCCTGTACCTTAAGCAAGGCCCTCGGTGAGGGGCTCACCGCCAAGGGTGAGCGCAGGCAGACGCCCCTCACCCGGGATGGCGGCGGCACGTGGCTTCCCTGCCCGCCCCCAACATGGCGGCGGGGCCGAGCCGTCCCCGCGGCCCCGGGCCGCACAACGTGCACGCGGCAGACCCGCTTGCCCGTACCCAAGATGGCGCCCAACGCCTTGCCTCCGATGCCCTGCCCCCAATCAAGATGGCGGCTCCGGGTGTCATCCCGGCCTCCTTCCCGCTCTGAAGATGGCTCCTCCCCGCCGCCTCCCTCCGCCTACCGAATGGCGCCGCGCACCGGCGGCTCGCCCCGCCCCTTACCCTGCGCGCGGCCAATCGGCTTCGCGCGGGGAGCCAGGGCGCCAACCCCGGAAGGCGGGCGGTCCCCGCCCCCCCGTCAGGGTGACAGCTCCGCCGGCCAATGGAGCGCCGGCGCGGGCGAGGCGGGCCGGGCGGCGCCGCCATTTTGTGAGTCTATAACACGGAGCGGTCTCGCTCGTCCCGCTATTGCGGCGCCTCCACTCCGCTCCCGACGGGTCGTCTCCGTGTGCAATGGACGGGTGAGTCCCGCCCAGCGCCGCGCTGGGGCCGTGAGCGGCGCTGCCGGGCCCCTTCTGTGGCGCGGGGGCGCCCGGTTTGAGGACCCGCGCCGGAGGCTGGGGCGATACCTGTGGGGGGCCCACGGGCGCGGCCGGGGCGGGCGGGGGGGGTCTCGTGTGGGGGCCGCCTTCGCTTCCACGTACTCCTCCTCACGGGCGGCGGGGGAAGCGGGGGCGGCCGTGGAGCGCTGCCTCGTGCGAGCCGGCCCCGCGTGCGCTCCCACCTCACCGCGGGTCCCGACCGCGGAGAGCTCGGGGGTCCCGCCCGGAGGGTCTCTAGGGGTCCCGGCCGTGCGGAGCCCCGGGGCTGCCGGCCCGGGGAACTCACGGGGCCCCGTCGGGGCTAGGCGGGGGCGGCGGTCCGGGAGCGCCGCGGGGGCGGGTGGGGGGCCCGGGCGCGGCTCCGCGGGGGCGGGGCGGGCGCACCTGGCGGGGCGGCGGGCGGTGATTCACGGCCGCGCTCCCTCCCATTGTCTGGCGCTTCCGCGAGTGGGGGCGGGAGGGGCTCTCGCTGGGTTCCTTTTGTGACCGGTTTTCGCTCGCCCAAGTTTCGCGGGCGGGCAGGGCTCCATCGTCGCCTCACCTGAGCGCCGCAGGTACAGCCGCGGGCTCGGCCCCGCTCCCGTTGTCCCGCGCAACTCCGGGAAAGAAAACTTCCCTCCACGCGCTGGAACTCGGGGAGTTTCCAGAGCGCAACTTTTATCTTGGGCAGCGTCGATTCCTCTTTAACCACCGCCCGGCGGGGCCTCTCTGCGGCAGAGTTCGCTCTAAAGCGGGTGTTTTTATCAGGCGATCTCTCTCGAAAACAAGCTCTCCGTGCTGCTTTTCTCTTGTCTGGCGTGGGTTTTTTTTAGTGATGTGGTTTTTTGTTTCTTCTAGCACGCAGTAGTTAAAATATTTCTAAAAGCAGTTTGTTTTCTCAGAGCCGTAAGTACGGGAAGCCCAAATTAGTGCCTTCTCGCTTTCTGCCTCAGAACACTAGTCTGGGCGTAGTCACATGTCTGGGCTTTTTTACACGCTGAAAAGGTGGCGTCTCACTGTTGTTTTCATCTTAAAACTCAGAAAGATTCTGTATCTTACAATTTTTGCAGTGTAGGGTCGCTCTGCTGCTTTTAACCAGTTGCTCATCGTGTTAAATGATATTATTAAAAAAAAAAAAAAAAAAACAACAAACCGAACAAATTCTCAGCACATGAGATCACATTCTAGTGGTAAAAATCGATTTGTTATCAGCTGTAGTTCCAGGGAAGGCGGATGTTCTGTGCATGTTAAAGTAGTTGCTATTTGCATGTAGAAGTTGTAGTGTAACACATGAGACTCAGTTGCCTCCCGTCTCTTGGAGATCTCGGTGCAGGATCCGTTTGCCTCGTGAAAGCGTCTCCTGCTGAAACTTCAAAAGCTGCTTCGGAAAATGGTTTCAGGTTCTTGCCGAGTTGGCAGCGAGTGGCCTCTGGCTCAAGGCTGCTCCCATCTCCTTCTCCCTAAAATGATCCTGAGCTGTGCCCGAATGATCCCCTTTGAATAAGTTGCTTTGTTAAACATGTGAGGAGTCCGTATGGGCAGTCCTGCTTTGGAAAATGACCTGGAGGTTTTACTGGTGCAGCTTAATTTTTCCTCTTACTGCATAGGAATTATCCTGTTTTTCTATGGGAAAAACAATTTTTATTAAGGGCTTTGTTGCCTCTTCTTTTGGAAAAGTTTGAATCCCCTCCTGAAAGTTGATGTGCAGGGCAGGAGAAGGAAGTTTGGGATAATTTACTGAGGAGTGTGTGAACTGGGAATACTTTGCATGTTTCTTGAATAAAAATTCTGAAATACTGTTGAAGCTTGTTTCCTGTGAAATGTGTTATCAAATGGGCTACAACAATATCCCAGGAATCGATAGTTCTTGGCAAATAAAACGACTCTTCCTGTTGGATAGTTCTAAATGCCATCCCCTGCTAAGGCACTTTATGTAAAACATTTCCTGTGTGAGAGGCCCACACGAGGAACAGGAAGTGGGAGAAACTGCTCTGGGGTAAGTTCGAGAGTTTGGGAAATGTGGGGCATTCCCTGTTCTTATTGTGCTTTGTTGGCAGTAGTTTTTTTTGGTTTTTTTTTTTAAGGTTCTGGAAATGCCTGGATTAGTGTTTATGTGTTAGCTGTGGAATGTGCGCTGTGTTTAGGGATGCTGGTTCCTTGAACTGCTCCATGCAGATGGGTTTCATTAGTGTGTTAGAACTGACCCTCGAGTGCAGCCAACCCATCTGCCCGGCGGGTGAGCAGCGCCGGGCCCATGGAGCGGTGTCAGACACGGCCTTCTCCCAGGACTTCCCTGGAAAATACGGAATTATCGCGTGGCTTCCCGGACCGGGCTGTGGCTCCAGCTGCAGAGTGCTGGGTTATGATGACACGGCAGGTTGGGAGAAAGAGGAAGTGTGAGGAGCTGAGCTGGCTCGTGCCGGGGCTGCGGTTCGTTTGTGGAGCTGGGGACACTGGAGCGGCCTAACGACACCAAACAGGACTTTGGTGCAAGTTATGAATTGTCGCAGGAGGGGAGGCAAGCAAGATCTAATAAATGCTAGGTTTTTTTGCATTTAATCACCATGTAGAGTTGTTCTTGAGTACTTCAGGTTTCTTATTGCTGGTTCAAGGAGGACTGCCCTACCTGCTGTGTGTGCCCCTGCTCTGTGGAGCAGCTGCGGGTCAGTCAGCTGGCCACTGCTGCATCCTGTGCTCTGGAATTACAGGCAGTTCTTTGAGAGGAGTTCAACCAGGCAGGACTGTTCCATGGCACTCCAAAGTGGTCATTTCTGCTCTCCGTTTTGTGTTGCTGCTTCTAAGAGGGGGTTGGAATTTATTACAAAAAAATATACAATCGGCAGTGCAAGGGTAAAACTGAGCTCTTAGGCCGTCTGGAGCACTCCCATGAAACAGTAACATGGAGGTGCTCTAAGGCTCTGGAAGATCACTGGGGTCCAACATGCCAGGCTGTCGGCGATCTGACTGCACTGGTGGACATTGCTGTCAGGAGGTGTGTGTTGTGGTGTAGAGAGCTCAGTGCTAACGGGATCTGGTGTGGGTCACCTAAAGTACAACTGGTGCAATTTCTCATCTTAATCAGAATTAATCTTAATTTTAGGAGGTTTAAGTATCTACGGTAGAGTTCAATAACTGCTTTTTTGTAGAATTGATAGAGAAATCCTCTGTAGGGCGTACCCCAAGCTGGGATTTCCTGGATCTCTGGGCACTCTGCTGGTCTGGCAGCGCCGGTGTGGCGAGAGGGCTGCTGTGAGCCCTGGCTCCTGCTCTGCTGGGACACAGCCACGCTCTGTCCCTGGGACCACTGGAGCTCTGGTGTTGGTCTTTGCAGCCGTGCTAGAGCCTGGCAGGGGCTCCGTGGGTGTTGGGGACAGGAACCTCAGATGGGGATGTTGGTGACGGAGCTGACTCGTGATGCTTTTCCTCTCGGTGTGGTCAGAGTTGAGGTCACATCACTGGGCTCAGGGCGGTTCACCCCCACCCCGTGCCCTTGCAGGAGGAGCATAGGGAGTGGGAGAGCTGCAGTTTTCTGGCACTGCTGGGTCTTGGGTCTCCACCATCACCATCTAATAATTTTTCTTTGTATAAACTGTCCTTGGCTCACCTGCAAAGACAACTGTGCACTTTGACTTGCTTTTTTCTTACTACTGTAAACTATGCTGGATTTTTGTGGCAAACCTATCTAACTTTTTTAATCCTTTTCTTTCTTTTTTCTACAGCATTGTCCAAGATATAACAGTTGGTACAAAGGTAGGCACTTCTCACTTTTTCTCTCTTTTTACACTGCTCAGCATCTGACTTAGTTTTAGCCTCACCAAATGTGGATCTTCAGCTGTAAAGGGTTATTTCTGGTACCATGTAAATTGGTATTCACCAGAAGGTAATTCAGTTTCATGTGCATTTAAAACTTATAATATGGCTCAGCATTTAGCTCTTGTCATTTAGGCATTGATGATCAACTTTATTGCATTTAGAAACAGCCCTTTCCCCTGCTAAAATGTCAAGCCATGCTTGTTACTTGTGTGCTAGACAGTGCTTCTCCATGAAGAAACTGGTCCTTTTCCTTTGGAGACCTCCATTTCCTTTGTTTGTGTGAATTCCTGCTCAGTTAGATGTAAAAAAAAAAAAAAATCTTTGTGCCACAAAAGGGAGGGCTTAGCAGCTGATTTTTATCTCCTGTGAGTACAGTAAATATGACCTTTGCCCTCAGGTTTGGAAAGGGCAGCCTTAGCCCTAAACTCAAAGTGCTGACAGGAGGCTCCTTATCGGCCGCGGGTGGCAACAGGCATCACGTTCACGGGATCGGCGCTGGTGCTGTGAAAACACCAAACTCGAATGTGCAGGACCGGGTGGGCTGAAGGGTTAGGGTTCGATTTGAATGCTGTTACTCTGGGGTCAGGACTGCAGTGAACTCAACCCTGTGTGCGTGTGCTGGCCATTGGTGGCCGAGTGGCACGTGGGGAGGCAGTGGCCAAGAACTGCCAGAGGCCGAGAGCCACGAGTGGCCACTCAGAAGGGCCAGGGAAGTGATGGGATGGGACTGATGTGGAGCAGAGCTGGTGCACTGGGAGCACCAGCAGCCCTGCAGAGTGGAGTAGGAGCATCACACAAAGTGTGGTTGGCCAGCAGAGCTTTGTGTTGGAAGTACAGAATGAGTTGTGTTAAGCACAGACAGCCTGGCAGTGCTTTAGGGGTCTGAAGGGGCTCTAACAGCTGGGGGGGAAAGGTCAGTCCTACTTTTCCTCCTGTGGGAATCTCAAATTTGAATTAATGATAGTGTCTGGCTTGGGTAGAAGTGCTGCATGCTGCAAAGAGCTCAGTTTGCCATCAGATGCGAGGAGGAGAGATTTGAGCCTGGACAATAAGGTTGGTTAATAGTTCATAGCTATTATCAAAGGTGGACCAAGGCATCCCTAGAGCAGTTTGATGCAGTGTCTGCTGGGAAACTGGTTAATGTCGGTTAAGGTCCCCTGGTTTTTAACAATGTGTAATTTGTAACTTTTGAAAGTGATTCTACGTAACTAAACTTAACCAAGAAGCTTCTGAAACTATAGTTGTAAACCTCAATGAAGTTTGGAGTTTTGGGGTGTGAGATTGCCAGCCTCATTGCTCCTATCTGTGGGGATTCCAGACCCTGGTTCCAGTCAGATGAGATCAGGGACCAATCCCCACTGAGTGCCTTCACCTCTGGCATGGGACAGCACCGTACCCATGGCTGTGCCAGTAGGACAGTAGGTAGAGAGTGGTGAGACTAAACTGTGCATGGAACATGAGGTTTCTTGTCAAGTCAGATAAGGCAGGTTTAAAGACAGTTGAATCTAAATTTAAAGAGTGGCAGAGGCAAGCAGGAAAGCTGAATCATCTTGCTAAAGGTAAGCTTTCAACTGATTTTTGCTGTAGCCACGTTACCTGATTGTGTTCAAGTCATTGAATATGCAGGTGTAGCTCTTGTAATAGAATTCCCTTCGTTAGTGCTTGGGTGTATTGTGTCGTGGGTTTCTGTAGGTAAATTGGAGTCTGTGTATATCTGAGAGCCAAGTGAAGCTTCTCCTGTGCTCCCATCCCCTGCCTGGGTCAGCCACCTCAGACAGCTTCCCCTGCTCCTGGGATCCAGCACAGACTCAGGTGTCCATTCTGTTACCTGTGCTCACGAGAGTTTCCTGCCTGAACTACCAAATCACACATGGAGATCTGAGCTGGAAAACTGGTTTTAATCTGAGGTGTAAATTTACTTGTTCCTGATGTGTGTCTGCACAGAAGGTAGAATTTGTTAGGGTGTTGGAAGATGACAGTCCCCAAAATCTGTCAGCTCTTGCCATGCTCGGTGACATGCTACTGAGCCCCCAGTAACCCTGTCTATGATCTGATACTGTGACTGGAATGTCCCAAAACTGGCTCAGACAAATAGGAAAAGTGCCTGTGACTCAAACCACTGCTGAGCAACTAGTTACAGCAAACTCCCAGTGGCCTCTTGGTGTCTTTGTAAGTGCTGAGCTTAACTTGGAAGTTGAGGACTTTGTGAAAGTCATTTTTTTTTCAGTTTGCTGACATTATTGCTTTAAAAGGCAGGCTCCTGGCATATTTTTGGGGTTTTTTCCTCACATCCTTAATTTACATATCAAGAGTATTTATACCCACTTATTAATTTTTCTGAGGTTTTAATTAAATTTAGTTTATTTAACTTAAGAAGCCCCCAGGTGTTCTAGTGGCTTACTCTTCTGAGTAGTGTACTGCCCGATGGTCTTGTTTTTAATCAAGTGTAATTGTAGTAGCCGTTCCAAGCTCCTCATTTTAAAGTGTGTGAATTTGTTTAGGAAGCTCATTGCTGTTCTGGTGTGGGAGTTCCTGATGCACAGCCTTTTGGAATGTCCTGCAGATCAGAAACACATGATCTAAGACTTAGTTCTTCCCATAGTTTCACTGCTGTCTGAAAAGGAAGAGAGTATGGCCCTAAGATGGAGGTATTTGAGCTCTGAGGTGTTCTTTGACCCTGCAGTTACCTCTTGCAAGTAGTCTGATCAATGTCTTACTCTTTTGTATCTCCTTGCCCTTTGTTTAATTTCCCTGCGTATCACTGTTCCTTCACACTCTGAGCAGGACTAGAGAGAGGATGAACTGTGACACGTCTCTGTTCTTTAAGTGAAATTGCATTTTGGTGATTGGAAGAGTCTCAGAATAGTTTAGGTGCTGAATAATACCATAGTTTCTTGGCTAAGTCAAGCTCTGCTTGGAAGATTTTCCTTCCAGAAACCAAAAGTGCAGTTGCGTGGCATTTGAGAAGTTAATTTTTAAAACAGGCTTTGCTGGAGTGTGATACAGGCTGACTGCATAGAAGTGATTTGTGGTGAAGCCAGGATCTTTGCCATGGGAACAGTAATTATGGCTTCAGGCAGTGGGCCAAGAATGTTGTGAGGAAATTCCAGTCCCCTCCTATGGCTTTAGTTAGAGGCTGCAACAAGCTGGCTCTTGTGGCCTCCCCACCAGGCATGAGCACACATGGGAACCACATGTTGGTGGCAGGGGACAGGGATGGCAGTGGATGTTGGGCAGCCTCATGTCACCTGGGTGTGCCAAACAGCTCCATCTCACCTGAGAGTGCTGTATGCTGCTTTGTGCACCTGGGTCTTCAAGTCATCTATCCGTTAATAAAATGGTTTTAGAAATATACTGGATTTAAACCTCAGGCCTGCTTTGATTTCAATCTGTGATGCTTTAAAAAAAAAAAGAGAATATTTAATACATCTGAACTCATTCAACTGCACACTTTTAAGTTGTAAGGATGGACTCTGGTCTCTGATATTTGCTTCAGGTACTGTCAGACTGGAAAACGCAGGTGTGCTGGTGCCACATTTGTTGTCCAGCAAGAAGAGGAAGTGTTATTTAATTACACATTCCCCATGACCCTGGACAACTCTTTCAAGCTTCCTATGAGAAAACATTGAACGCTGTGTTCAGCTGAGCAGTGTTTGAGCTATCCCATTTGTGGTGCTGTCTCTGCACAGCCACAGTCCAGGTGCAGTTGTGCTGCCTGGAGAGTTGCTGCTAAGCCCTTGTGTTCAACTGGCCCCCTGACAGGTGGGGCAGAAGTGAGTTCTGTGTTCCTGGAGTGACTCACCCAGCACTATTTCTCCCTGATAGGATTTCTGTTGAGCTTTGCCAAGGCCTCTCTGCTCCATGGCAATGACTTGAAAATTCAAGGTTGAGGAGTAGTTAAGTTTCAGCTTGGGAGCAGTGGATCGTAAAGCCTGGGCGTGTGCTGCCCTACCGAGCCAGCATGACTGCATTGCTGCAGCACTTGGAGTTTAGGAATTTTGGGCTATTTAAACTGGCCACACCTTCTATTTGCTCAAAGGGCAGGTTTGTTTCAAAGGGTGTCTCCATAGTAGCAAAGACGGAGAAAGAAAGTTAGGAGGGGGTGATGGATGGTTGGGTTGAAGATCCTGCTTTGCTGTGAGGCTGGTGTGTGCTTGAGCTCTGATACAGCTCACTGCCAAAGCACACGGGGTGAGCAGGTGCAGCATTAGAGGGTCTGGTGGCTTTTAGGAACTCCAGGGCCTGTCTGCAGCCTCTAGAAACAGTGCTGGCACTTGCAGCAGTACTGTGGGAGGAAACTGCTGTGCTCTGACCATCTCACCCGGCTTCAAAGGGGCCGGGAGTGTGTGTGTGTGTGCCCAGTGTGCCATTGGGGATCCCATGGGGAGCTTTCCATTGGCTACTTTGTAGGGATATCAGCCTCAATCTTGTCCAGGCAAGAGGGAGGCTGCAAGTTTTAAAAGCCTGAAGTGGCAGGTGACTGGTGTTGACTGAGCAGAGCGTGGGTTGAAAATAAGTGTCCCCTGTGCCTGCCAGATAGGCTGATGCCTCTGCCACAAATCCACTGTGCCCATGGAATATGTTGACTGCCGGGTTGGACTTAATCAAATTAATGGTATTTGTGTTCTTGTATTTGAATTGGTACATCAGCCATGAGCAATTCGATGAACTAAATTGATCCCATCTGCTTTGGTTCTGATCAAATGATAAATTTGCATTAAAAAATTATAAAATGATGCATGATAAAAGTGCACGAGTGACATCAAAGTGAGAGCAGTGTCACACTGTGAAATCTTGAAGTTGCTTTGTGTTGGCCTAAACTTCCCAGTTTCCTGGAGACTATTGGGAATGCAGGTGTCTATGTGTTCTTCAGAAGTGTTTCACAAAAAAAGTTGACTCATGGTTTGTTTGTGACCCAAATTGGAATGTTTTTCACACTACTTTAAGTGACTAAAGAGTGCTGGAGGCAGGAGAGGGGAATAGAGGGGAAACATAAGTGAGCTGTGCTGGACGTGAGTCTTTGGTAGAAGGCAAGGAAAACTGGCATCCTTCCTAGTAGTTTAAATTTAGTTCCATTCTTGAATCTCGAATCTCTCAGCAAAAAATGTTGGAATGTAACATGAGTGTGATGATGATGATGTCATCAGACTGGATTTCTCTTAATAGTTTCTTCACAGAGATTTGAGCTGTGAACTGAAGGATCAGAGCATTCCTGCATCCCTCTGGGACTGACCTTGGACAGCCCCTGATGAGCCACTTGCTCCTCCTGTGCTCAGAGGCATTTTCTTGCCTCTTTGATCAGAGTAGAAGGTTTTTGTGATCTCAGTGGTCTGAGTAAATTTTTTTAAAAAATACTACAGTGGTCTTTTATTGATTCTACAATATTTTTCCAAATGTAGGGAAAATGAAGAGCAGCGATGCTCATGTGCTCTGGCTTCTTGCAGGACAGATTTCCTTTGATTTCTTTTCGGTGGGGGTTTCCAGGTGCTGCTGTTCCCTTTTTTGCTTTCTGTGTCTGTTAGCTGGTGGCCTGCTTGCCTCCAAAATCCACCTTTTCCCTCTCAAAAGTACTGCTATCTCAAGTCTGTCAGAGCAGTGTAAGGTGCTCCACATCCAGAGACAGTCCTGCTGTTCTATAGGGTTTCCTCTCATGCAGAGAAACAGCTTTTTGTAGATCTTGAGCTTGACCAGCCTATGATTTCTGGCCTTTTTGGTCATTGTCCCTTTCCTTCCCACGTGCTCTTTTTGCCTTTGCTTTAATTGTGCTTTCTGCCTGAAAGTTGATTAATAGCATGTGTTTGACTTGAAATGAATATTTTTATGGTGGTTTAGTTTGTGTTTGTTTCTAGCCTTTTGCACAGGCAGGATGCAGTTGACTTAATGTAATCCATTTAATGTAAGTGCTGGATCTTAAGTAGATAAAGGATTATATAGGGCAGCTGGGAATTTCTGTAGCACTTCTAGGTGTGCTCATAGAAGCTGAGACAATCTCTGGCCTCATTCCAAAGTATTGTAAGCCAGGTAAAATCCTGGCAGTGAGGCAGTATATAGTGTGTGTGAATGAGCTGTTGCTTTTTAAGCTGTGAAAGCCTGAGCAGACTAAAAATTCTTGATTTTGTGTTAAAACTTTAAAGCAAGGCAAAGCTTAGAGTTTGGGGTGTGGTCAAAAATAGAACTGGGGGAAATATGAAATGTTAAGCTGTACCTTGCAGCAGCCTGCCTCTCCCTAAGTCTGAAAAGAAAATGAGGGAATTGTTGGCAGCAGTGCTGCCTGGAGCACGGTGTGTGATTAAATTAGTGCAGCTTGGGCAAGGGGCCTTCTGTAGCCAGGAGCATCAGGCCAGAGGAGGCTGCTGGCATGGAAACCCATCCCAGCGGGGTTTCCCTGGTGCCAGTGTGCTGCTGGCTGGGGATTTGGGTGGTGGAAACAGCCCTACTCTGCTCTAGGTAGGATCTGGCTGTGTAACTCCAGAAGTAGTGGTTGTTTACAGTCATCAGGAAGAGGAGATTTGTTAGTTCAAATGAGGAATTTGATGTGCTGTGAGCGCACTGTGGCTTCTGTTAATCTTGTCATAAAAATACCAGCTGTGAAAGAATGGCTGAGCAGAAATGTCAGTGTAATTAAAGCCTCTGTGTGCAGGGATGGGAGCTGGAGGTTGGAGAATTGTGTCTTGAAGTGCAGCTGGGCCTCCCTGAACTACTCAGAAAGTGCAACAGGGAGAGAAGCAGTGCTGTGGATGGATATGGGTGAGCACCGAGCACCCCCACAGCCCTTGGCTGGTTTGTTCCATTTTAAACCTAAATTAAATTATATGAAACTTCAGAATCAGTAACTTTTCTACTGTCTTTCCCATTATAATTCAAAATACCCAGTGGGTGCATTGTTGGTGAGAAACTCTTCTAAACCTGTTCAACCAACCAGGCTCGCTTTGGTTCCTCTGCCTCTACTGAATTGGGTACTTGGTATGAAACATTTGAATTTATACCATGGTTTTAAAGAAACTCTTTAGTGTTTCTAACATATTCAGAAAGAAAAGACAGAAAAGAGTCTGGAAAGATCCCTGGAGTGTAAGGGCAGAGAGCTGATGGAGGCTGCTGAATGCTCATTACTGTGGGTATGATCATAGAGAACTGGGTTTCAGTTTGCCTCGAGTTTAGTCGTTCCAAAAAAGCAACTATTTCCCGTGGTTATCTGATATCAGCTCTAACAGGAACAGAGGTAGAGCAGGTGAAAAGTTATGGTTCATGCAGCCTCCTTGTGCTGGGCACTAGCCTGTGCAGCATGGGCCTGGCAGCACGGGCTGACTGCTGAGGGTCTTTGGGGCGCTGGGTCTGCTCCTCTCACACTTCAGCAGCCACTCCTGCACTGGGTGATGTGACAAATGACTTCAGTGTGACTGCATAGTACTGCATGAACCGTCTGTAAACTTCCTTCTGTAGAGAAAAGGCTTTGGAATAACTGCCCTTTTCCAACCATGGCAGTCTTCCCTCCTCGTTTGCATGTACTTCCAGCTGAGAAGCTTACAAATTGACTGCTGCTGCTTTTGATGTTGAACAATCATCCCCCCTCTGCCTCCCGGCTCGGCTCTGGTCGCAGTGGGCAGCACAGGCTGTCTCCAAGATAAGAGGGGAGTGGATTGGAAATTGCTCTCCTTAAAGAGACATGGATGTGTGGAGCACAGCTGCAGTGACATCCTTGTCATCCTTGCCTGTGAGGAAGTTCTCAAATATGCAAGAAAATGTTTATTTTAAACAAGCCATTAGGAAAGCTAAATTCTTTCCATAATGGTATAAATGCTTGTTTTTCCAGTTTATGGTTTCCTAGTGTTGCCTCCATGAGAGCCAAATACGTGGCTCATTTTCCCAACGTTTCCATGATGGATTGCAGGAGCTGCCCACTATGTTTGCACATACACACCAATTTGTACTGGAAGAGCTGGAGTTCAGGATGTGCAAAATCCTACAAGTTAATATTTAAAAAGACGTTTTAAAACATTCAAGTCCCGCTAAGGCCTGATGCAATGACATTCATGAAGCCAGAAACACCTGATTATGTGGGTAGGGCTGTGCTTTGGTGAGTGGTTCTTGTCAATAGCTGCCAGGTGTATCCCAGGCCATGGCACAGAAAGCCATACCTGGAGTGGCAGCAGCAGTGGAGGCACAAGACCTTAGAGCAGACCAGAGGATTTTTTCTAGCCTTGGAATTATGCCTTAATTTGAGTCATCAAAGGATGGGATCACAGTTAATAGCCTCCCAGCCCAGCTTGCCTCTTGCTGCACTCAGGAATCGAAGTGCTAATTAGAACAGCTGTTAAAAAGCCCATTCCTAATGACTGTACCATGTGAGGAGGAGGAGGAGGCCGAGGCCAGAGCCTTGGCTGGGAGCTGGTCAGCGTTTGCAGGTGACCAGCAGCAGCTCATGAACTGCAGTTTGGAACCTGGCCTAATTCTCATCTTCGGGACATCAAAGTCCTTGAAGCCTCTTTGAAGAGCTGGCAGTGAGTAGTCAAACGAGAAATTCAAGATTGGAGGGGGAAAGAAAAAAAGCTAAACCGTGTGTCTGTAGCTGGGTGTTCTGGGGCTCTCGGTGACCTACTTTCCCAGCCTGTCTGCTGGGGGGAGTGCACAGAGCTTTTGTTGTTGCACGGCTCCTGTTTCTGCAGGTGCCACCAGATACAGGGTGTGTGGAAGATAAGGGTTTCTGGTGCCAAAGTGTAGAGTGGGATACGTTTCCATTGAGGTGGGTGGGAGCTTCCAATGCAGAGATGAGCTCTGAGGTTTTTCTTTATTGATGAAAGCCTTTTAGTGTGGCACCTCTGTGGAAGAGTAATGTCAAGAATGATGAGAAAGTGCTCCTGGGTGTTAGGTCTGTGGTATCATGTTTTTTCACAGTTTATAATGGAATTTGAAGTCTTCCATATAATTTCCTTGAAATTAAGCCATGCTGATTGTAAGATGTGTATGCAGGTATAGATATGCTAAGGAGTCATTCATAGGCATGTTTGCTTTTGTCTTAGTTTTTTTTGTACCTACTATTTGAGTTAGACCAGTCCTGGTCGGTTGAGGTGATTTAGGTGACTTTACAGGAAATGCTGTATCAGAAGATACCTTCTACCAGATCAGGGTGCTCCAAGCCCTGTCCAGCCTGGCCATGAGCACTCCAGGAATGGGGCACAAAATGCACAACTTTGATTCATATAACTGCCAAGTCGTTCCCAAACAGTTTTGGCAGCTTCAGAATGAAAATTCTGTGGGATGGGAGTAGTCAGAAACCTGTTTAGCCACGTATGACAGGAGAAGGTGCCTATTGGTTCACAGCACTGCGTGTAGTGGCTTCACACAACTCAGCAACACTCCAGCCCTGAGATCCCAAATGCTGAGCTGAAAAGAGATACTGGATAGTGCTGCTCTATTACCAAACTGGATCTGACTGATATTTAATTCATGGAGGTGAGCTTCACTGCCCACTCTCAGTATGTTTTCACTTACACTTGTGTTCAACTCCTCTCCAGCTTTCTCAGTTGTTCTGCTTTAGGAGTGCCTGGATAGAATTGAGTAAAATGCTTTCCATTTACCTGTCGTCTCTTTTCTTCCAGCGGGCAGCTGAGGAGCTTTTCTCTCCTTGTGTTACTACTAACGGACCCTTTATCATGAGCAGCAACTCTCCTTCTGCAGGTAATATTGCATGGAAACAAGCACAGCAATTTATAAGTACTGTGAGGAGGCCTGGATTTTCCTTCTTTTTAGTCATAATTTTTAAATCTCTTCATTTTTTAGTACTTTCTAGGCGTTTTATGGGACAGTGCTGAATAATAATAAACATCTGCCAACAACACTAGGCCAGGTTGAAAGGAATAAAGCATTAATCTGGGGTTAGTGGCTCAGACCTGCACTAAAAATATGGGTGGGTAGATGCGTGGTTTACACAAACTAGGAAATGGCCACTGGAGAATGGATTCCATTGCAGTGGCAGTTGGCTGTGTCACTCTCATCATGTAATTTGGGGGAAAAAAAAGAGTAAAACCATGTGTCTTCAGACTCAAGTTAACTTAGACTATGGAATTTCTCTGTAATAGTGGCTGGGGAGCAGAGTCTGTGTGTCAGCAGTGGGAAATGTGTGTTTCTTCTTCCAGAGCCTTCTCATCAGCAGTAACTCTTGCTTCTTACAGCTAATGGAAACGACAGCAAAAAGTTCAAAGGTGATAACAGAAGTGCTGGCATCCCATCCCGAGTAATCCACATCCGCAAGCTCCCCAGTGACGTCACGGAGGCAGAGGTCATTTCTTTGGGCTTACCCTTTGGCAAGGTCACCAATCTTCTGATGTTGAAAGGAAAAAACCAGGTATTGTCTCCATTACTGAAAGCATGGGTTGTGTCAAAGGCTCGATAAGTTTGTCATCGGGAAACCAGCTCCAAGTTGTTTAAACAACTGCTGTGTGTTACAAGTCAATGACTTCTGCATACTCTTATTTTACTTTTCTGTGATTATCCCATGAGCTGTAGAAAATACCATTTTCAGGCTGCAGAAGGAGCTCAGTCCATAATTACAGGTTGTCACTTATAATTAGCGCTAGGCCTGGTTTGGAAATTGCAGGCCAGGGATTATTTGAACAGCAGTGCCATGAGTTGGCCTTTTTCATTCAGGCTTTCTTGACAGCTGAGTTACCACCGTGTAACATGGCATATTGAGGACACCTTTACAGATCTAGTAAATGAGCTGGGTATGGCTGAAATACTCTTGGGTAATGCAGGAGGTGTGCACTAATTTGGTAACTAAAATTGTCTTGCAAATTAAGGAGTAAAAAAAGCCAGCCGACTTTAATCATTGCTTAAAATAATGTCTTTAATCTTAATTATGAAAAGGTGCCTCTGATACATTGCATGGTGTGATTAGATGCAAGTGCTTAATGCAGTGACTTGCTACAATCCCTTACATTTCTCTTCTGAGCGAGAGAAGCCCCTATGGGAGTGGAGAATCTAAGTACACATGTAACATGGAGATCTTAGGGTGAGACTGAAGCATCGCATTAAAACAGTCTGGAGAGGAAAGATCCTCATTTGTTCTACTTATAGTTGGATTTTAAACAGTTCTGTGTACAAAAATACATTTATAAATGCAATTGTGAAAACACAATCCTGTTACGGCCCTGCTGGAGATTCAGGGTGATCCGGTGCTGTCCTGGTGTGACGTGTCTGTGTTGGGTTTCACTTCCCAGGCCTTCATAGAGATGAACACGGAGGAGACAGCCAACACCATGGTGAACTACTACACCACAGTCACTCCAGTGCTCCGGAGCCAGCCCATCTACATCCAGTTCTCCAACCACAAGGAGCTGAAGACAGACAGCTCTCCAAACCAAGCAGTCAGTTTGTTCTCTGCATTGTCATCCCCAGGGAGGGGGGGACACACAGCTAGATCTCTGCTGCTGGCTTGAGATCCATGGACTGTGTAGCATCTGGTGCTTTAGGATGTTTGTTTCTAATGCTTAAAAGATTTCCATCAAGTGCAGCCCTGATGGGGCAGAACTCACCTGTGGTAGAGCACAGCCTGGTGCTGGTAGGTGCAGCTTTGAGGTGGCAGCAGCTGAACCCAGCAGATCTCAAAGGTCTCTGCACCACACGCTCTGCAGAGGGGAAAAAAAGTTCCTAGTTTCAGCTCAGCCCCTTTTGGCAACCTTTTAGGACAGGAGCACTGGAAAGAAGTTTGTGTTGTGGTTCTTTGTCAGGGTGGCTGCCAGTACATCCCCTTTGTCTGCTCTCACTTTTTGAGCGGACTCCCATCAGGATAAGAGCACCCAGTGCTGTGCAGATAAAATTCTGCTGTTGGTTGCCTCTCACAGCTGGAACAGGAGTGTTCTGTATGTTAGGGGGCTCTGCAAAATCCCCAGGCACTTCCCACTTCTGGATCCCTGTGGCAAATGTGCATCAATCTTTCAGTCTTGTCAACTCATCTAGGATTATGGAGGTGGATTCAGAAGAGCCCTGTTTTTCCTTTTTTCTAAACAATGGGGTAATTTTGCTGCATCAGTTTATGCCAAGCAAGGTTTTGCCATAGCATGGGTAATAATAATTGATTTAGATTGTATTTTTGCCTTGCCCTTACTGGTTGGGGTGGTCTTCATTGGCCCTGTCTCAAACGTGCCCCAGCCCTTGGTGCAGGATGTGGCTGTTCTGCTCACTGCTGAGTCCATCAGGCTGTTTTCAGAGGGGGGAGCTCAAGGAGAGCTGACTTTTTTGGAAGCAGAGGTGTGGATCTAACAGCTTTTTTTGATCCTGCAGCGTGCCCAAGCAGCTCTGCAAGCTGTGACCCAGGTGCAGGCCGGGGCTGTGGCGCTGGCCGCCACGGCTGCGGCCGTCGATGCAGGGATGGCGATGGCTGGCCAGAGCCCTGTCCTGAGGATCATTGTGGAGAATCTCTTCTACCCTGTCACTCTAGATGTTCTGCACCAGGTAAAACACTTTGCCACAACTGCTTGAAGATTGTCCTGAAGGAAAGGACAGCAGCAGCTGGTGTGTTGCTGTAGTTGCGAAGTCTGTGGTTTGTGTTTGTACAACGTGAGTTCTGAACAGAGCTGTCAGACTTCTCTGGAGGAGATGCTCCTAGTTTTGGTCCCCTACTCTTTCCAGAGTAAATTTTAATTTCCAGAGATTTGGGTCCTGGTCCACTTTACTGGATTGATTACAGTTCTTCAGGTTATCTTTAGGTTTTAGCAGAAGTAGCTGCTCCTCATCCTTGTGCTGGGGCCTAGGAAACACATAGAGTGTCCAGGAGCTATTTAGGCATTTTGGAAAGTTCCCTCTGTCTGCTTTAATTGCTTAATGTTATCTTCATGTTTAAAATGCAAGCTTGACTGCATTGAAGATGTACTGAAATTCCTGGAAGAGGTCGAGTTCGTTAAAGTGTTTTTGAATATTCCTGTTTAATAACCCAGAATAAGCGAACTGTACTTAGGGAGCAGTTCAGTCACTTTGTGTTCTAGGCTGATGCCGTGATGCCAGTCAAGCAATGCCCATAGTGTGGTTTAAAACCTTCAGTGCTGCAATTGAAAGCTGACAAGCTGAATGGGTGACTTTTGTTTTTGCTTGTAGTAAGAGATCAATATGAAATTATCTTACTGGAAATGTGATAACAAGATATGCAAATATTATCTTGCAGATCTTTTCCAAATTTGGTGCAGTTTTGAAAATCATTACGTTCACGAAGAACCACCAGTTTCAGGCCCTGTTGCAATATGGTGACCCCATGAGTGCTCAGCATGCCAAACTGGTGAGTGCTACATACCTGGGTTACTCTCACTTGTTTAATCCAAGCTCAGGGTGGGCTGACACCAGCATTGCTCCAAGGAACAGAGCATGAGTGGAAGGGAATTGCTCCTATGTGCGACTTGGAGGCTGCCAGAGGGGCTGAATGAAGCAGAGCTGTCTCCACATGAGATACCTGTTCACAGGTGGAGCCATGGGATGGCCTAACACCTCTCTCCAGAGAGCAGTTGCTGTGAGCTTGTAGGTCTGAATGCATTTGGGTGAGAGCTGGTTTTGTTTCCTTGCAGTCTCTGGATGGACAGAACATCTACAACGCCTGCTGCACGCTGCGCATCGACTTCTCCAAGCTCACAAGTCTCAATGTAAAGTACAATAACGACAAGAGCAGAGACTACACCCGCCCAGACCTGCCCTCTGGGGACAGCCAGCCCACCCTGGACCAGACCATGGCAGCTGCTTTCGGTGAGCATTCAGGAATATGTGTGTGTGTGTCATGCTGAACACCCCCTACCCGCACCCTCTGCTTCTTCTCATTCTGCACTGTGCTGTGAGAAGTCCTTGTTAGGCCTTGTCCTTGCAAACACCACCTGGGCTCAGCTCTTTCTGAGGGACATTTTTCTAAAGGTGCCTTATCATGCACTGACTGTTTCTGTGTGCCTGCACACCCTTTGCATATATGCTATAGCAAATCTGGAAGGTAGGTCAAGTTATAGTTATAATTTAGGCTAAATGCTGTTAAGTGTTATTTCTCTGTTAGATTGTTAAGGTTAAGCTCTAAATTTAGGTATAAATCAAGTTAAAGTACTGTTAAGTTTAAGTGTTGTTAAATTTTAGGCCACATTCCTTTTCATCCTCGTTTACCTCCTTGCTTACTGATTTTACATGCACACATGCCTAGGTAGACTTCAATTCATTGCTGTTTTGATGGCCTGGATTTTGTTTGGTTTTGTTATTGCTTGCTTTCCTATGTTGTGCCTTAGTTATCCTTTGTAAGTAGAGTGAATCTTACCAATTGTGTTGCTTTGTAGTTTAATATTAAATATGACTTATTGCTTATACCCTTATTGGTGATTTTTTTTTTGAGCAGTCTCAAGCACAGTCGTTCAGGACAGTGTGTCAGGAGAAGGGGACGGGATGTCATCCTGGTGTATTTGACCAAAATTTTGGGCTAGAGTGTAACTAAGGCTGAACATCTGGTTCCAAATCCCGTGTCATTCCCAGTGGTTGGTGCCTCTGGTGCCACCTGGTGTTTGCCCAGGAATTGTTTTGGTATTCTCTGGAAGTCCGTTGTTGTGAGAGGCATTTTTAGATTGCTCGTTGTGTTTTAGGGTTTAGCTTTCAACTAAATATTTCATTGAAGGAGAGATCAAGACATTTTGGGTAAGTTTAGGGAGGTTTAAATTAGGTATTAGGAAAAAGTTCTTCTCCCAGAGGGTGGCTGGACACTGAACAGGCATCCCAGGGCAGTGGTCAGAACACCAAGCCTGACAGAGTTGGAAGAGCATTTGGATAACACTCGAAAGCACATGGTGGGATTGTTGGGTCTGTCCTATGTAGGGCCAGGAGCTGCACTTGATAATCCTTGTTGGTCTCTTCCAACTCAGAATATTACATAGTTCTGTGAAGTTTAGAGTTTTCCTGCTGTTGGCATCTTTTTATAATGTGTATGTCTTTCCCAGGTGCCCCAGGAATAATCTCTCCTCCATATGCTGGAGCTGGCTTTCCTCCTACTTTTGCCATTCCTCAGGCTACAGGTACTGTATTTAATAAGTTGATATTTTATGTAGGTCTTTTGTTGCTGAAACATATTCATGTTTTAAAGCAAAGTAGTGATGATTTTGTTTGGGTTAGCCATGTAAATTCTAAATGCTGGCGTTTGGACATAGAAGGGACTGGTGATCCAGGACATCACCTCAGCTAGGAATGCTGTGTGCAGCTGCAGCACCTGGCCAATGTCCTGGTGATGGGAAGAAAATACATCAAGCAGGATGGGAGAGATAGCAAAGGCAGACTTTGAAATAATATGGGGAGGTAGAAAGGAGATAAAAGTTCTTGTGCTTTGAATTTCTCATGTTGTTACAGAGGTTGAGACCTCTATTTGACAGCTGTAAATGTGGTCAGAAGTAAGGACTCTCACAAATTTTTTCTTAAATAATTTGAGAAAGCTGGTATTTAATCCTGACACTAATTCCATGTGCTGGAACAGTTGCACTTCGAAGTTCACAGCTCATGTTGTAGCTAACAGATCATTACTGCTTCCAGAAGTAGCCAAGAATCTGAAAACTGGAGGTGCTGAACATGCTTGCAGGAGTGCCAGCCTAAACAAACCTTGCTGGAGTTTTAAGCGTTCCAAGCTGTGTTGACTTTCTGGGAACATGATGGAATTTCCTTGTATATGACAAACAAGCACAGAGTGGGCTGTTGAGGCATTGCTGTTTTGGTAACATCCAGCCCTGCTGAGGAAACAAGCAGGGCTGCTTTGGGGAGTCATCTGTGGAACTGATCACTAGCAGTTGTTTCTTGAGCTCTAGAGCTCTTGCCCTTGAAGGGCTGGTACAGGAGGTGCCAGCTGGTACTGGGAGCTGTCTGTGAATGCCTGTAAATCCAGCTGCAGTGGTTCCCACTCAGGAGAGCTGGGTGATGGTGGCACAGGGTACCTGGTGGTTGCATGCGTGGTGAGAGCACATTGTGCATGGCCTGGTTGGACCCTCCCCATGCCCCGTGTGTGATACCTGCCCTGCACAGCAGAGCTGAGGCTTTGTGCTCATCCGCTGCTTGTGAAACATGCACGAGAGTGCTGAGGCACCTGCTCAGCACCAGGCACTGCAAGAGCAAATCCTGTTAGAAACCAGAACATTTCCTGCAGCACCAGAAGCGGAGGCTCCTGTTGCCCTTAGGATTACATGGGCACTGTTGGGAATGATGACATGCATGGTTCAGAGGGTGTGCTGTTCTCCCTTCTGGTGCAGCAAATACACTAGAGTACGTGCTGTTAATTCTTTACTGGTTAATATTCTTTAATTTCCAGGCCTGACAGTTCCAAGTGTTCCTGGAGCACTAGCTCCTCTGGCTATTCCAGCAGCAGCTGCGGCGGCTGCAGCAGGACGGATTGCCATTCCCGGCCTGTCTGGGACAGGGCACTCCGTGCTGCTGGTTAGCAATCTGATCCCAGAGGTTAGTGCAGTCCTCACTTTACTTGTTTTTTTTTCCTCCTTCCTTTTATCTCTTCTTTCACTTCCTGAGCACAGATTGGGCTGAAATTCATTGAAAGTGAAATCCTGCTGTATGCAAAGGAAGCGGCACCACTAGAGCAGCCGCTGCCATGCTCTGACAGCCCCAGTTGCAGGGCAGAGCAGTACTCTAGTTGCTGAAGGGAAATGGGAAAGTCCATCTCAGATTGAAATTGCTCTTCCTTGGTTCAAAGCCAAGGATGCTGCCTGCCTGCTCTTGTCCCCCAGAGACTACAATGCCTGTCCCTTCCTCCGTCTTCTGTGTGGCGTCTCCCCACCATTCCCATGGAATAGTGTCATTTGGGTCACAGAATAGCCATGTCCATTCCTTTTCCTTGGCATGTTGTAGTTTTTAATACATTAATTCAGAACTACAGAGAGGCTTCATGCTGACCTTTGCTCTTTCTATGTAGTGTCTGGATCCCTGCTAGCTTGACCTTGTACCTGTGCAGTATTTCCTCTGCCATGTGCTTGCACATTTCCCCCTTCCAGGATTCCTGGAAATTTTCCGTAGCTAAACCCCTTAACAGCTCACAGTTTACATTTTCAATTCTACTTAACTGAGTGAGTTGAAATATTTGGGTTTCTCTAAAACGAAAGCAAGTAATATTTGAGCAAAAACCTTATTTAATGAAAGACAGCACCATAAGGGAATTGGATATGGGGGGCTTGGATTTTCCTTCAGTCAGCCCCTGGATCTGGTTGGATTGAAAGTGTAGAACCTCTGGTGTTCAGCAGAGTGATGAGGCTCTGCTGAGGAGCTGTAACTGGTGGGACTGTGCACACACCTTAATAGCACTTTGCAAAGCTGTAAAAACTTACCAGTGATGGCAGAGTCACCACAAAACCTCTTTGGATCAAAGGGGAAGCCTGGATGTGATGAATGATCAAAATGTTTAACTCTTTAGTAAGATGAACCAATTGGATCGTGTTTCAGACTGCTCTTACCTGTCATTGCTGTTCTCTCCAGGGCATGAAATAATAGCAGGGGCTGTGGAATAGTTTTGGGATTTGCTGCTCGTGCTGCCTGGAAACTGCTCTGCCATTCCAGAGACTCTCATCTCTGGCTTGTTCCACCATTAAGTCCTGATGATTGCTGGCATCATTAATCCTGACCAGTGTGATGCTCCAAGTGTGTGCTCCCAGGAAGCTGTTGGGTACCTGGATGGCAGTGGCAGAACAAGAGGCTGTACTGCACCTCTCAGATTTCTCACAGCTCTGTTTAGGCAGGAGCAAGCAGTTATTTCATGCCCTGTGGTTTTTTTGAGGAGCTCTTCACTCTCCATCCAGCTTGTCTTTGGGCTAGAGAGACTTTGGGACTTGGACTGAAGCTGTGAACTAACAGACATGAAACTTTTTCCACTGCCTGTATAATCAGTGTTGTAGAAACTTACCTGTGCCACAACCAGTTAGTAAAGAGACAGTATTGCCTGGAGTGACTGCTCTGACATGGGATTTTCCTGACTGGGATTCATGGAAGCTGAAATGGCTCCATTTTTTTTCTTCACAAGAGGGAGAGCAGTCCCCCTCAGCTTGTGGTAACCCAGTACTTTGGGTTTCTGCACAGTGAGGTGAGGCCACAAAGCAGGAAGGGAACAGTCCTCTACAAACAAGGTACCAGTTCCTTTATCTGAGTGCTTCCAGCAGACCTTGGAGTGGGATTTGTGGCAGCACAGCTGCTCATCCACATGATCTGTTTGTTTAAAGCAGTGATTGGTATCCAAGGTGGATGTTCCTTGTTTCTTTCTAGCCAAGCATTATGGCATGGATTGCTTCCTGCAGTTTCTGACCCCAATGCAGCAAACGAAGCTGTCTGTGACTTGGTCCAAGTCATTAAACAGAGAAAATAATTTTTAGTCAAATTTTAGGGAATGCCATTGCAGTTGAATTGGTTATTGCAGCCTGTGGAAGTCACTCTGGGGGGATACTGTCTCTTACGCCTTTGTATATCTGAAGTAAAAATGCCTTTTCTTTATCATTGTGTTCCACTAGGTAAAACCTATTAACTGTTTCTGTAAGCAAGTTATTGTATGTAGAATTCTATAAATCTGACTGATGGAACACTACATATTCCTTATGTATTTACTGACCTGTGTTTTTTGCTACTTTTTTCTTTTCTCCCCATCCCTGAATTTTTTTTCTTCCCCCGATCCGGAATTTCTTTGCCAACTGACTGCACGGTACTTCTGCTTCCTGTTGTTGCTTGAAACAAAAAAATAAAAACATTCCCCTTCCAAAAAAAAAAAAAAAAATAAAACAAACCCTGCTCTTCGGAAACCAACCTGCCCTTCAATATTAACCATCTTGAAAACTTCATCATCCATCAACCAATTTCGCCATTTCCTGCGGGGACTCTGCCCTTCCTCGTTGTGGACGATTTGTGCAACCTCGCTCTCCCCTTCGATTCCTTACCTCTTCCCTGTCCCTCCGCTGCCTTGCTCTGCTGTTCTCTAAAGAGAGTTACACCCCAATGCCTCTTTATTCTTTTCGGTATGTTATTATTCACACTTTTTATTACCTTGTTTTTCATTTATTTGAGATTTACTTTTTGATACTTCAGAAATGTACAGTTTGCAGTTTGCCTTTTTTTTTTTTTTTTTTGAATGCATAATTTTGGTTTTACATTGTTTACTTAGTTTGCTGTTTAATTTAGTTTGCCTTTGGTTTTGGTTCAGTTCTGCATGGGTTACTGCTTTGCATGTCTTTAGTAAGAGTTTTAAATTGTGAGAGCATGCGAAATTGTCCAGTCTTCTGGCAGTAAGATTTTGGCTTTTTGCTGAAACCCAATGTCTTTTCTTTAATGTATTGTTCCATTATTATTCTGCTATATAAGAATTCCCTTAATTAGAGCAGAATATGTAGCCATGGTTGGAATGAGATCAGTTCTGGTTGGGAATGGATGTTTTTGCTGTTGGATTGATTAGCTAATGTTAAGTTGAATTAGACTTTTTGTTTCCCTACCTAAGACTGTTCTTGTTTCCTCCCTCTTTGAAGGAGTCTATGGTGATGTGCAGAGGGTGAAGATTTTATTTAATAAGAAAGATAATGCCCTGGTTCAGATGGCCGATGGGAATCAGGCCCAGCTTGGTAAGCTCAGCAGGGTCAGACTCTGGGCAGTTAGGGACAAAATGGGTGGTTAAGATTTTAATATTGGCACTTTCTTCTCTTCCAACAGAAGACTCAAATGTATCCATGCTGTGTGGGGTGTGGCCGTGGGGCAGCTCTGGGGCTGGTGTGGCTCACGGGGGCGAGAGGGAAGTAGGCAAAGAACACAGTGAGGCAGAGGGACCCTGCAGGGTGTGGTGTCTGCGAGGGCAGTGAAATTGTGGCCTTGAATTCATGTCTGGACAAAACTGAAGTAGCCTGCAGTCAGGTGTGTCCTCCCCTTGCAGCCATGAGCCACTTGAATGGGCAGAAGCTCCATGGGAAGCCGATCCGTATCACGCTGTCCAAGCACCAGACAGTGCAGCTGCCCCGTGAGAACCAGGAGGACCATGGCCTGACCAAGGACTACGGGACTTCTCCTCTACATCGTTTCAAGAAACCAGGCTCCAAAAATTTCCAAAACATCTTTCCCCCTTCTGCCACTCTTCATCTGTCCAATATTCCGTAAGTATCCACAGGGAGAGTTCCTGTTTGGCTGAGTGTTGAAGTGTTTGCAGCCTCAGTGTGAGGGAAGCTCTGTGTTGCTGTCAAAGAGAGCTCACCCACCTCCCTGTTCCATTGTCTTGCCATGCCAAGAGGCTGCTAGTAGGGAGTTTAGAAAAGTCTCTGATGAGAATTAGTTTTTTGAGGTTACCTTGGTCTGTCAACATCTGTTTGACTAGGAAAAATTTTTGTTTCAGACCTTCAGTAACTGAAGAAGACCTTAAGTTGTTATTTTCAAGCAATGGTGGGATAGTCAAAGGATTCAAATTCTTCCAGTAAGTGTTTTGTGTTACTGTCCTTGCCTTACTCTGGGCATTTCATATGGGAAGGGTGGAAGCACTTGATTCCAGTCAAAGGTGAGCAGAATCCTTACTAACAGTGTTTGACTCTGGAATAAAGAATTCCTGAGTAAGTAACCTTGGGTTGAACACTGCCACAGAGTTGCTCCTCTAAAGAGTAAGTGTGCTGCAGGTACTGGGGGAGGTTAATTCTCTGTTGGATGGGATAATTTGGATCAAGTTGGGAAGCTCCTGCAATGGAACTGAACATGTCTGAAACTTGTGTCTTGTCAGGAAGGACCGTAAAATGGCTCTGATCCAGATGAGCTCTGTGGAAGAAGCCATTCAGTCCCTCATTGACCTCCACAATCATGACCTGGGGGAGAACCATCACCTTCGTGTTTCCTTTTCCAAGTCCACCATTTAGAGCTTGGGGAGGCCTGTGTTAAAATGGACTTGACTTAAAACCTCTGGGGTTCAGCCTTGACCTTAAAAGGCTGGACACCAGGGTTTCAACTTCCATCATTCCAGAAAAAAAAAAAAAGCCACTTTAAAAATGCAGCTGAAGTGACCTTAAAAGATCAGAGATTTTATTTTTTTAAAGAGAAATCAGTTTACCGGTTTTTAAAAAAAAAAAGAAAATTAATTCCTCTTGCTAACCTTGCGGTGATGGGTAACAATCTTGACTGTTCCAATAAAAATCACAAGTTCAAGTTTACACTATGGAACCTGCTCTGGGAAATTCCCCTCCCCTCCTGCTCCTTCTCCCCAAAAAAGCAGATCCCAACAAGTTTTATCAGGTTTCACATTGATGCCTTTTTTAATTTCCTTACCCATCCATGCCTTGAAAGACCTAAAACCACTGTGTGAATTCACTGTAGCGCCTTGGAGTCAGGATTGTGGTGACCAGGAGCTCCCAACCCGCCCAGCACAACACTCGGTTGCATTGATCCCACCTTAGCTGTGCACCTGCTATCCTGTGCCTTAAACCTTCTACTTCTTTGGGGAAAACATCCGAGCTGCAGGGAGGGGATGGGCAGAGCTGGGGGCGGGGAGCGGCTCTGGCTGACGATCAGCCGGGGGAGTTGGCAAAGTGGATAAATGAAATTTTGGGCTGTGACTCGGGCCAGTTTTTCCTTGCTGCCCCGTGTGTGTCTCGATCTCCACGTGTGCCCTGTGCCACTTCCCAGTCTGCTCGTGGGTCATTGCCACCTGCAAACTCAGGTGGGAGTTACCTGAGAGCCTTTGTGGCTGAGCAAAGGTCTGGGTGGGGGAGTGTTCCCAAGGCCAAATCACATTCCAGTGTCAGGAGCGAGCCCGCAGGCTCTGCCCTCACAGAGCATTGGCGAGGGACAAAAGAGCCTCTGTGGGACACTTGTGAAGATGAATCAGAGTTTGTTGAATTTGTGTGTGTATATACCTAAATGCTTGGCTAGGATTTGGAGAATCCTTGGATACCCCACAATTAGAAAGGTGCCTGCGAGAGGTACCTTTGTGCCCCTAATTGGAGATTAACGAGGCTGCTGTAGCTCCGCCGTCGTTCTTAGAGCATGTCTTCAGCATTTGAGCTTTTATTTGAATCCTTGTATTATACTTTGATGCTGTTGCTGTCCTCTGTGCCTAGCAATATTTCCAGTTGACCAAATATTCTAATCTCTTTATATGCAAAAGAAATAGTTTTAAGTACCTTTTATAGAATGATAAGATGGTATAAACGTAATCTAAATTTACTCCTTTGTGGTATTACCCATGTATACTGTACTTTATTTTCTTTGTTTTGTAATTGAAGCTGTAGGGCAGGAGTAGTTTCCAGGCTGAGGTCGTGGCTGAGGATGAGCAGAGCTGAGGGTGTGAGAGAATGAGCACAAACAGCTCGGAAATGGAAGGAAAAGGACCCAGGCTAAAGATTTTTTTACCTTTTGAATCTATAAGCCCAGATGTTGTTCTAGGAAGGGAATTTATTAAAAGTAGAATGCAGCAGATCAGTTTTTCCCAATGATACAAGCATTTTTATTTTTATTTTTTTTCTGGCTTACAACTCTTTCCCGGGCCATTCTGCCTTCTATTCCGTGTGATCCGATGTTGCCTTACATTTCCCTCTAACCTGCAACCTGTTCGGATGCAAAATAACAAGAATCTTGTACTTTTTTTCAGGGTTTTTCTGCAAATTGTGGACCAAAGTTTGTTTTTTAATTGTCTTAGTGTTGCAAGTTCTGATTTCCTTGCTTGGTGTGGGAGCTCTTGACTTGCCTAGCACTGAGTGTTTGGAAAAGTCTTAACTTTCTGTAGTTCCTCCCTGGACTCTCAAGGATATGAATTATGCTGGAGAAGCATGTGAGGTCCGAGTGAGGGTCCGGCTGGGGCTGTGGCGTGCTGGGTACCCCTGAGGGAGGGCAAGACCCCTGGTGCCAGCATCACCTCAGCTGCTTTTGGGTACCTCTAAATCTGGGTGAGCTGTGCTGGAGCCAGGGATCTGCCCCTGCAAAGTTTCTGCCAGCAATCCTGCAGGAGGGCACAGCTGGGGAGGGATATCTGTGATTGTGGTTGTTGGCTCATCCCCTTCCCAGTGAAACACCTGCTCCTCCCACAGGGGACCCATCCTGCCCAGCACAGCAGCACTGGGGTAACTGGTCAGTGCCCCCAATCACCCTCCACAGCACTGGGGAGGCTCCCGGGGCCGGGCCCCGGCCGGGACACTTCGGGTGTCCCGTGCAAATCACAGATGGATTTGGGGTAACCAGGGCCCCCCAGCACAGCAGGTGCTCCCTTCGGATCCTGTGTTTGCATGTAAAGAATGTGAGTAACTAAGGGTGTATATATTTATAATTTTTTTATACCTGTTGTAAGACATGAGGGGCAGCAAAACCCAGTTTTTTATGGTGACCAGATGTATTGTATATTTTGATAACAGCAATTCCAGGTTCAGTATTGTGGAAGGTGGGTGGGGAGGGGAAGTGTACACACCATCAGAATTCCATTGCCTCTTTCAAAGAATGTTTGTAATGCAAAAAGAAATGAAATTAAAACTATTTTATAACAACCTTTGTACCTTTCTGTAGCTCCATTATTTCCTGTTGAGATTGTAGAAGCAGTTGGTGCCCAGTCTGTACTTGTGCTTTCAATAAATTCTTCTGTATCCTTCACTCCTGATCTTCCTCCTCTTTATTGTGCCTGTTTTGCTTCTGATTTTCCCTTCTCATGTAATTCCAGCTGCCTCATTTTATTTAACTTTGACTTTTCACACACTCTGGGCTGGCAGTGCGTGTCCCTGTCTCTGTGGAGCCATGGGATGGGGTCTGGCCCTCCAGCCCCTGGGTGCCAGGCTGGAGCCCCGAGGCCTGAGGCTGTCGGGCCCTCACTGATGCCCTGCCTGTGTCACACTCCAGCACTTTGTTACTTTATGTTCCTAAACTTTCCATATGTTCTGGCTAATATCCATGAAAAATAACCCACTTTGAGTCAAACCCTCCTCTCTGTAGTCCTATGCTGTAGCTGTGGGGCTGGATGTAGCATTGTCCATCCCATGGGAGGAGGTGCAATTCCCATCTCTCCATGCCCTCCCTCAGGAGCATAATACTTGCTTAGGGATCTGGTTCTTACCTGTATGCTCAACTCTGCTCAGACTCCTGTCCCAAGAGTCACCGTGTCCTGGGGGGAGACACAATCCCCACCGGGAGCTGCTGTTGTGGCTCTGCTGGCCCCATTCCTCTGGGCTGAGCTGCCATTAGGCTCCAGCGTATTCTACACGCGTTTGCAGAGCCCTCTGGCTCCAGGGTTACCGAGGGGCTCCTGCCGCAGCCGGGGGCTGCTGAAAGGGACCACTGTTGTTCCTTGAAAGGCTAACGGGATTTGTAGCAGCTGCCGTGCCTGTGAAAGCTGGGCTGAGGGCGATGCGTTGCTGCCCCGCGGGAGTGAGCAGGGTCATTGCTCCGGGGTTGGTTCCCTGAGTTCTCTGGGGTCCAACCTGGGCTTTGCAAATATTGCGGGCAGCTCTGTGCCCTTCCCTGGCCCCTCGGACACTGATCGGCTGCTGGCGCGGCTGAGAGGGTGGCAGTGCTAGGGTCCCTATGGGAACAGCGATGGCTCCGGGGGTTCGGTTTTCCCTTCCCCCCCTTCCCACGGCAGAATCCCCCAACCTGGCCCCGGGCCGTGTCCCAGATACAGCAGAACCCGTGTCGGGGGCTGCCTCTGCTTCCTCCCGCAGCCCGGGCCGCCTCTGACCGGGCATCGTGTCGGGCAGCGGAGAAAACTGCCCTGAAGCTGCTGCCTTTAACGGGAAAATGCTGGCGCGGAGAAGGTGGGGGCTCCGCACCAAAGGGCTCTTCCAGCTCTGCCCGGAGCCGGAGGAAGATGCTGCCTGCCTGGAGCCTGGCCTTCCGTATGCCCTGAAGCACCGCGGGGTGCGGAAAGGGAATTAGCTGCCAGCAGGAACCCCAAATCGGGGAATGATTTGCGGACCCCGGGGTGGGGCCGAGAGCGGAGCTGAGCCCTTGGTGTGTCACAAACCCCCTGGGGCTCACCGTGGGCGACACGGGGACGTGCCGGGAACTCCTGGCAGAGGGTGTCCTCGGCGGAAAAGGTCGGGACACCGGACACGTATGGTACCGAGGCAGAGTCCAGGCTGGAGCTGATGAGGTGGGGGTTGACAGCCCCTCCTGCTGCAACCCTGTGTGGGGCCGGGGAAAAGATGGATGAGGATGGTTCCGCTCCCTCCCGACCCCGCGGGTCCCCAGGCGATGCAGCAGCGGCTGCTGGGGGGCTGCCCGAGGCGGGTCGGGGCTGCGGGAGCGGGTGCGGGGCCGGGGGTTGCCCGAGACTACGAGAGCGATGCGGGGCTGTCAGTTTCCATGGAAACCGCTGGGTCAGAGGCGGCGGGAAGCGGCGTGTGACGCCATCGGCACCGCAATGGGCCGTGAGCGCGGGGGCGACGTGGGGCTGCTGGGCTGGGAGCCCCCACATCGCCCCGACCCCCACCAGGGACTGCCGGAGCTCGGCGTCAATCCCTGTGACCTTCGCCAGCGGCTCCGGGTCACCTCCCCGGGTCACCCGCAGCACGGCTGGATGGAGCAGCCCCACGGCGCCTGTGATGGTTGGTGTTGGACCCCTTCGTCTCTCACTCCCCAGGGCCCCCCACAACCCCCCACTCAGCGGGATGCTGCTGCCACGATCCTCCTGCTAATCCCGGGTGGCTTTTCCAGCACCGAGTCAGGGTTATGTGGATAATCCATATGTTTGCAAGGCAAAGGCTTTGGGATATCCACTGTTAATCCAATTGGCAGTGGCAGTTTGGTGCCATCGGCACAGTGTCCTGTAGGGAGGAGGACGCGGCTGCCCCAGCCACTGCTCCCCGGGCTTGGGAACTCCCGCGGAGCCCTGGTCCTACCCCCCCACCCCAGCCGTGGGACTCAGCTGCCCCCCACCCTGCCGAAATAACCCAGCCAGAGAACATCCACGTGTTTATTTGCTTTCCAAACCATAGCAGCTCCAGCTGTTGCCCGACATATTCGCAGCCTGGAGATCCCCTCCCTGCTTCCCCCAAACCTCGGCTGCAGCCCAGGGCTGTTCCTCCTGGGGCAGAGCTCAGCCCCCACTGCACCCCCACCCCAAAACCCCCTGGCCTCCAGTCCCTGCAGTATTTACAGCCTCTGCACACCCAGAGCCACGGCTCTGGGACCCCCCTCCCAGTTTGCCCACCCTCAGGCTCCCTCACACAGATCGGTGGTGCAGGATGGGGGGGTGTCACTGGACCCCCAGCACCCACAAACCCCCACATGAGCTAGGGCCTGCTGCCCCACAGCAGCCTCTTTCCCCTCTTAAACCCCTTAATCTAGTCCCCCCCAAAGCCCTTCAACGCCATTTGTCCCTCCCCGCCCCCCTACAGACATCCACTTCCAGAGCCGGAATAAAATAACCCCTCGGAAATGTCAGCACCAGTGTTAGAGAGAAAAAGAAAGTCAAAAGTGCTTGGAGCTGCCCAGCCCCACAGCCTGTGGGGGGGCAGAGCCCCACCAGCTGCCAGAGCATGCTGGGGGTCCCAAAGATGCCTCAGCTGGCTCAGGACCAATTTGGCCGTTCTGCAAAGCCAGCCCTGTCCTGCCATCCCCCGCAGAGGGGCCCCAGCATCACAGAGCCCCCCCAAAGCAGAGCAGGGGCGTGGGGCCCTGGCAAGGCAGCGGGGCTCAGTCCTTAAACCTGCGGCCTGCCTGCATCTTCTTGTAGTACAGGTCCACCTCGCTGTCCGCTGTCCCGTCCCTCTCGGCCGGCTTCCTCCGCAGTGTGGAGTCACGGCTGGCTGTGGCCAGTAGCCCCTCGGGAGGGGCCTCCACCCGCTCCCCACCACCCCCTGCTGCCCCTGGGATAGCAGCCAAGCTGCCGTAGCGAGGCTCATCCTGCTCCATGTCGCTGACAGAGGAGCCAGGGGACACACCGGCGCTCTTGGCTGGGCGGAAGCCATGGAAATCCTTCCCCACCTCACCCAGCTCGTAGGTGTCTGGCCCGTCCGGCCCCTTCGGGCCCGACTTCCACTCCCAGGGCCCATTGCCAGCAGAGAGGTGGACAACAGGGTGGTGAGGAGCATGAGCATCGATGGTGATGATGCTGGAGCTGTCCCGCTCAGAGGGCGAGCGGTACTGCGAGGAGTCAGAGCTGGTGGAGGACGAGGACGTCTCTGAGTGTTTGGGAGTGACAGAGACAAGGCTCTGCTGCTTGGACATGGCGATGACCTGCATCAGGCGCGGGGGGTTGGCCACCCGCTGCGCTCCCCCCTTCTCTGCCACCATCACCCACTTGGCCCGCACGGCCGCCCCGCTGCTGGCCGCGGCGCCAGCGCCTGCCTGGCTCTCCTCGGGGATGTGCACCAGCTGCGAGGCGCCCGGCCGGGGCTGGATGAGCACGCGGGGCCCCATGGCCGCCCGCTCGGCCGAGCGTGCCTGCACCGTGGGGTACAGGGAGGGGGGCACCTCCTCACCGGGCTCCCCTACACCCCGGCCCTGCGCCGCCTCCTCCGCCAGCGTCATGCTCCGGCCCTCCAGCGACTTCTGCTTCCACTCCGTGATGAGCTGCTTAGAGCGGGAGGCGTCCACGGGGACGTGGATGGTCATGTGGCGCCGCGCGGGGTCGTCCATGGAGGGGGTGTTGACGCGGGGCAGGGTGTTGCTGAAGGTCACCATGTTCTCCTTGCCCATCGGGCTGCGGGGGGCCAGCAGGTCCACGTCCACACTGGCCCGCTTCAGGCTGCCCAGCGAGTTCTTCTCCCGCGGCACCGGCCGTGCCGCCTCCTCCAGCCGTGCCTGTGGGTTCAGCTCGTCGGTGCTCACCGACTTGTTCTGGTGGTAGACAGAATCGTGGCCCCGCTGTGTCAGTGCCCGCAGCGCGTCCTTGGCCGGTGCCTGTGTTGGGACCCGCTCCGTTGGGGCACGGAAGTTGCCAACAGCATGGAAAGCCTGTGGGAAGGGGAACAATAGAATCCTGGAATGGTTTGTGTTGGAAAGGACTTTTAAAGGTCATCAAGTCCAATGCCCCTGCCACAGGCAGGGACAACTTCCACTAGACCAGAGTGCTCCAAGCGCTGTCCAGCTTGGCCTTGAACACTTCCAGGGATGGTGTAGCCACAGCTGCCATGGAGAGTGTGGAGTCAAACAGCCACACCAGCATCCCCAGCCCCCTCCCTGGGCCAAGGGCAGGACCAGCACCCACCAGGTAGGCGGCAATGCCGGCGCCGATCAGGAAGCCCACGTAGACGTCAGCGGGGTGGCTGCGGTACTGGGTGATCTGGGTCAGGCCACAGATGCCGGCGGCAATGGCAAAGGCGAAGACCAGGATGGGCTTGAGGAGTTTGGTGCTATCCGAGATGATGGAGTTGAAATACATCTGGGGCAGGAACAGGCTGTTAGTCATGGCCTGGCCATGCACAGAGCTGTTGGGTGCATGTGGGGCTGCAGTTGCCTGCACACACACCCAGCACAGGCACAGGAATATTGGGTAGAGCTTGTCTGTGCCAACAAGAGAGGAACACAGCTGCCCATGGCATGGGACTTGTGCTGCCTTAAGCAGCAAGTGCCAGGCAGTGCTGGGAACTCACCGACACGTAGACAGCAGCGAAAGCTGAGAGTGTCGCGTGCTGGGATGGGAAGGTCTTCCTGCA